CCCCCCCCCCCACCCACCCACCCCCACCCCCACCCACACCCACACCCTTGTTCAGCCGTTACGTGAGAGAGACAGTGAGAGATTTAAAAATAAACTACAAGTGGAATATGAATCTTACAGAGATATACTCAAAATACTTTAAGCAGTAAAAACCAAACATCCTCAAAAAAATTTTTGTTTTTTGAATTAAAATTTGGACAAGTTGTTTTTGATAGAATAGTTCATTAAAACACAGTTAAAAACAAAAGCTAAGGCTATATTCGAATTCCTTGCGAGACAGCGCATCGAACTACACTAAACATGGCTTCAGTTGTTGGAATAATCGAGCTGGTTTCATCAAATTATTGCAGATATAAAATACCAACATATTAATGAGTGCAGGGTAGGTGGTCAGGAGAATTATTAGAAGTGGTTTTTCCAACAACTGGGGTCATGTTCAGTATAGTTCGACGCATTGTCTAACGAGGACTTCGAATATAGTCTTAGATTTTGTTTTTGACTTTGTTTTAATGAACTATTCTATCAAAAACAACTTGTCAAAATTTTAATTAGAAAAAAAACATTTCTTAAGAATGTTTGGTTTTTACTGCTTGAAGAATTTTGAGTATATCTTCGTCAAAATAAGAGTTTTTCAGAAATTTTTTTTATCAAAATACTTGAAACTAAAAGCTCTACAATTTCGTTTAAGATTGGAACTAGTCATTTTAAACAGCTAGAGATTACCGTCTCGAACCGTCCATAAGTGATGCAGATGGAAGCAGTACTTTGCAAAGTTGACTGAATATTTTAGTCATATTAAAAATGCTAAGAATTCTGTACTGTGAAAATTGTAGAGCAAGTAATGGTCTATCAAATACACTATACCATCACATCCGTCAATTCGGCCTTTTGAAGTAATCAAGGGTCTAAAATATTGTTGTGTTTATCATGTAATCGACGAACAGTCAAGACATATATATGATTCTATTTTTTTTCAAAAACTGAGTCATGCTTAGTATGATTCGATGCGTTTTTTAACGCAAAATCCAAATATGGTCTTGCATTTTCTCTTTGACCTTGTTTTAGTGAAGTAAACTGTCAACAAATCATTTGTCAAAATTATGCAAAAAAGACCGTTTTTTGCGGATTTGTGGCTTTTTACTGATTAAAGTATTTCGAGTCTATTTCCGTCAAAAAAAAGCTTTTTTTTTAAATTTTTTTATCAAAATGCTTAGAACTAAAAACTCTACAAATGCTAAAACTTTCATCGAAATCGGAGATCGACCTTGTACACCGTGGTTGAGATTCAATCGAAATAACCTAAACCAAATATTTCCTTCGTGATTTACGTGCATCAATTTAAAGATAGAATTTCATTTATCTAGATTTTGATAAGATAACAGTTTTTATTTTATTTATTTAATGGTTTTATATATGACAAAACAGAAATGCTTCTGATAATCATTTCCATTCCAAATAGATACTATTTACTACACGATTAATCGTATAATGACGTTTAATCATATAATGAAGGAATGATTTTTGAGAATGAATCATTTCTTCTAATTTTTTAACCATTTCATTTTCTATTGTTGGAACCATAAAACATAATGAACGAAGATATTGATTGTGTTCATTTTGAACTTTTTGTAAAATATCTTGTACAAATAATTCAATATTAATATTATTTATATAATCGACTTGAAGATAATTCATACGAGGACAAAGTTTCATTAGATAATAAATTTCTTCTATTTCAATCATTTTTTCAAGACAAACTTTTGTTATTTTATTTTTAATTGATACATTACGAAGAGCTATTTCTTCGACAGATGAATTTCTTGTTGATGATAATGATAAAGAATGAATTTTGAATGAATCAAGTTTAGACAATACATTTATAATATTGATTAATGAACTAGAACAGATTTGTCTTTCAGGAATTTCTAAATGATAAATTTGTGTCAATGTTAAAATGCTGCTAATATTCATCATTAATATTTCTAGTTCTTCTTTACGAGGAAGACATGTAACTGTAAATCGAGTAGATTTAAAAATTTCCGAAGAAGAATTGTCATCATACCATCTTTTTCTAAAAAACAAACAAATTTATTCAATATAAAGAACTCTTCTTGATACTACTTATATGGACGAATTGAATATACAACTTCGAATGAACGCATTTCAGCTTCCAATATCCATTTTCGTTCAATCCAAAATGACGAAATGAATGGATTAGGATCTTCAGGATATATTGGGGATATATATTCAAAATCCAACGGTCTGTAATATTGAAAATGAAACTTTTCTAATCGAGGAAAGTATCGTTGAAATAATTGTTCCCATCGATTAGTTTCAAGAAAAGTCACATCTTGAGATCGAGTAGTATAATATAATACTTTCAATCTACAGTTTATATTTGTAATGAACATTTTAAATTCATCAAATCTTATATAATACACGTTGAAAGAAATATACGATAAATTTGATAATATCATTGGTAATATAGTAATTTGAATGATTGGATAACTATCGTTCAGATGTGAAAAATATAGATGACGAAGTTGAGGTGTATAAGATAATATAGTAGAAAGTTCCTTGAAAGTACAAGAATGATCAATAACAAGATGTTCAATTGTACTCGTTTGATTTTTTAAAGCAAATGGTAACGAAATGGATCTTTTCAAATCTTCTGCTATACATTTTATATATTTCAATTTTGGCAAAGTAAAAATCAATCGATAGACATCACTTAAATCTTTTAACGTACGCCATGCATCGATTGTTAATGAGAATAAACGAGGTAGATAAGTTAAATTGGAAAGAAGTGAACTAAGTGTAGTTAGTTTAATGCGAGTAAGAGCAAGTGATTCAAGATGATCTAATGACGAATCGATTGGAAACGATGAGAAAAAATGTTCGTTCTGCAATATCCATAAATGAAGAGAATATATTTGATGTTTGTTAATAAGTAAAAGTTGTTCAAAAATTTTTGTGTATATTTCGTCAGTTGTTGAACTCATTTTAATTTTAAATAGAAGAGAGGAAGAATTGAGAAGCTGTTGAAAACGATCATTAAGATTGAAAAATGCCTTATAAATATGATAACCATCGAGATAATCGAATATTATATAGAAAACTTCATTAGACAAATTTTCTATGGAAATTATCGACATACTTTTACAGTGCAAAGAATAATGCAATATTTAATCTATAAATCAGTATAGAATTCAACTTGTAATTTCTTTATCTTTCGTAGAATCGGTTGAAATTGAATGATTATTTAATTAAATAGATGTTTTTGTTTAAAAATTCAATATGATCTAAAACAAACATCTGAAGTATTCATATATATGTAAACATATGTTTATTGTTTATTCTTTGATAACGAAACAGAATGATTGCATATGTTTACAGTTAACGGATCCAGTGATAACGTTCTATTCTTTTTCATTTCATTTTTATGTAAAATATCTTTGATGAGTCATTAACTATTCTTTCCTTTACTATGTATCGAATATAAAATCTTTATTAGAAGAATTTACAATTGGATAAAACCCTGACCAAACACAATTCTCCGTCGTTAAAAGATTTCTCATCATGTACAATTATTTTTAATTTACTCTTATTCTTCTTAGGATTAGTTAAGTTAGACAATTCCATCAATAAAAATATGAATAAAATAAACTATCATTCTGGTGAATTTGAATATGATATTCGAATACATTACTATGCATCTTGATGTATTGTATATAACTATCGTCTGTTAAATGAAATAGTGGCCGTGGACATTTTTGCAATAACTCAAGAACGGAAAGAGTTAGAGAGTTACGATTTTCACCAGCCGAAAGAGACGACACCGAGGTGGCTTTTCCTCCAATATTGTATAAGACGAAATCATTTTAAAATCAATCATTTCTGCAAAATATTGCAAAAAATACATGAAAACACTCTGTCATTCAGATGAATTTTTGCTTCTGATATGTGATTTAGATAGAAAGACTTCAAGTCTATAGTTAAAGATATAATTCAAATGGTTATCTTCATACATCCTAATGTTAAGCAAATCACATTCTCTATCTACTCCCGAAATATGAATTTCTCTTCATTTTTAGGAGACGATTCGCAACAAAATCGAGCATTCTGCCACAGAGACCTAACATGGTCAAATTTTAGATTTGGTTCATTCTATGCTCAATCGATAGAGCATCTCGAGAAGCCTATAAATCTAAAGTTTCATCAGTTTTCGATTTTCTCTTCTCGAGTTAGATGATGTCGAAGTTTACTCGAACGGGAAAAATGAGAGGTACCGTCTTCAAGTCCGCCGCCAGCTATTTCAAGACCGATAATTTTGAACGAAGTCTCATTCGAAAGATAATTGTATTGCACACTACGTACAGTGTTTTTCAAGTATGAAAAATCCTTTTTGCTAGTCGGGTATGGGTGTGGGTGTGTGGGTGTAGGTTGGGTATGGGCGTATTTTCTCTTCTTCCACATCCGGGCCATACTCACATCCACACTCGCACCTACACTCACACCACATCCATACTCCACCTACACTCACATCGCAGGTCATATCAATTCTTGAAATCAGAATCGGGGTCAATGAAAGACTTTTATCGGATTTGTAAATGAAAATGGGCGATTGCCATATTCGTGCTCAAAACAAAATAATAAGCATGAAAATGTATAATCTAATTCTCGATAAAAAAAAATGCGCCGAGTCTCAACCACTTTGCAGATGTCTAGTAGGAATTTAATTTAATTGACTTTTGTGATCGAAGCCAGGTATTAGTATGAATATAACCAGGTTCCATGAAAGTGAAGGATGTAGATGGTCTACATCCTCCGAATAATTGAAAACTATTCATTGGCAGTCAACAGAATCGATAAATTTTTTTGGAATTTTTTTTAGAAAACTTTCAAGGAACGTTAAAATGTTTCGCTTCGGCAGAAAGCGACTATGTGAGTGTACTCAGCCTAAAAATATCTGCGAGTTTTCTGTTTCTATGGTTATTTTACTGCTGTCTTCATTTTAAAAAGCTTCATTTTCGAGCAGTTGGCACTAGTGTAGTCACCTTCGGCGACGAAATTACTAAGAGCTATGGCAACACTTTTTCCTATCTAAAAAAATAAGAAAAAGGAGCGTTTTTCATAAGTCTGAAAAAGGTTTTCGCTTTGCGAAAAATAACACTTGTGTAACCGCAGTTAACTTAGAAGAACGTTCTACTCTAATCAATTTTCCTTTGAAACAGCTTAATTTAGATCAATTTTCAAGAGAGTGATCGCCTTCGACGACAAAAGTTTTGAGAATTTTTCTCACATTGGACACGAGTTTTCTTCTGGAACATTTGCCAGACAAAATCGAATTTTTTAAGAAGCTTGCAAAAAGTTATCACTTCGCGAAAAAATTTTACATTCTTTGCTGCAAGGAAAATATTAATAGCAGATCTGATGCAAAAACAAAAATTTTGTGTCCCTGAATCTTGGGTGCCTTGAAATTCCCACTAGAGCCCATCGGGTCCAAGAATTTTTGGATCCGGACCAGAGATGTCCATCGCGGCTGAAAATCTGCCGCTGCCACGCCGCGGCCTTAGAAAAAAAAGCTGCCGCACCGCAGCCGCGCCGCGACGGTTTATAAAAAAATGTTGCCGCGCCGCGATGGCTTATAAGAAAAACGTTGCCGCGCCGCTGCCGCGATGAATTATAAAATAAACATGCCGCCGCGGAGGTTTACAAAAAAGTGTTTCTAATTTCACTGCTGCAACTATATTTGACCAGAGATATTGGTACTAGTCCATCAGATTCATTCAGTCTCTGGGTGTTTCATTTGAAAACTCTGAAATTCTATTAAATTCATGCAGTTTTTCAATGTTCCCCAAAAAAATCCTGCCGCTGCCGCGATGGTCTTTTAAAAAACCTGCCGCTACCGCGCCGCTGCCGCGCCGCTGCCGCGATGATTTTTAAAAAATCTACCGCTGCCGCGGTGATTTTTTAAAAAACCTGCCGCTGCCGCTGCCGCTGCCGCCACAGGCCATCGCGGCAGCGCCGCGATGGACATCTCTGGTCCGGACCCGGTTCATTAAAATTTGTGGGACCCGGACCCGACCCGGACCCGGTCGATAAAATTTTTCTAGACCCGGACTCGGAGCCGGACCCGGACCGGATTGATCAAAACTTTCGAACCCGAATCTGACTGATTTATTTTTTTGTGGGTCCAGCACTGTTGGAGTTAAAATTAGGGTAGTTATAACTCGAGTTATAACTTTTGAGTTATAACTGATCAACTTTTTGAAAAATAGTTTTAACTCCAATAGTGGGGTCCAGAGTAGAGCCCATCGGGTCCAAGAATTTTTGGACCCGGACACGGTCAACACATAATTTTCAGATCCGAACGCGACCCGGACCCACCCGGGTCCGGGTTGGATCCGATGGGCTGTACACCCCACCCACCCCACCCACACCCACACTCACCCATACCCCACACCCACACTCACACCCATACCCCACACCCACACCCACACCCACACACCCACACCCACACACCCACACCCACACCCACACCCACACCCACCCACACCCACACCCACACTCCACACTAGAGAGCTGCGGGTCTATGTTTTTTTGGACCCGCACCGGGCAAAAGCTAAATCTTCAGGCCCGGACCCGATCCGGACCCGGTCTTTTTTTCACCAATATCTGGCACCCTCTGTGCACATGAACGGATAAAGGTACAAGGTTTTAGCTATTCATTGGTAACTTTAAAAATAAAGTGAATGTACAATCATTTCTTGTTGTTCATTTTTTCGCTATTAAATAGTCATTAAATTGAAACTTTTCGATTATTAAAAAGCAAAGTATGTTAACGAAAAAAGAAATTGAACAATTAATTAATAAAAAAAATTCATCATTGAGAATTATCAAACCAACAGTAACACCAAAATCTTCAGCTGTTTGGAATAGTTTTAGTCATATTTATGTTAACGATATCAAACAGGAATATGTTATTTGCAATCAATGTGAAGAATTACTTATTTATAAACCATCCTTTGGCACTAATTCCTTATCTAAACATGCTAGTAGCTGTCAAAAGATCAAAACGACAGTTTCTCATAATCAAACAACTATCAATCAATTTTATGCATCTTCAAAAAATGAACCTGCTATTCCAGATCGAATAAAGCAGGAAATCAAAATTGCTTGTGTTGAATTTGCAGCACTTGATTCTCGATCATTTAAAACAATTCATGGAATAGGCTTTGAAAATCTTGCACAAAAAATTTTCGATGCCGGCAAATATTTACCTATATCTAAAGGTATTAATGTTGAAAAACTACTTCCACATCCAACGACAGTAAGAAAGATATCTTTTAATCTATTGTAACCACAGCAAGGTAATTTTCTTCTCTTTCGTAGGTTAGCCGTGAAGTTAATAAATTATATAATCAAAAGCATCAGCAATTAGTTTCAATTTGTGAAAAAATGCTTGAATATAGTGTTGTTGTTGATTTTTGGAAGGATATCCATACGGATTCGTTGGAATAACATTTCACATCTCTGGTACAGTCAATGTTCCTAATAAGAACAGGTGTGTCAGCACCCTCGGTTATTTTCTATTTTTCTCAAGCATTTCCCAACATAAAAAAATTATTTTTGCATTTCTGAGTAGAGGAGCACTTGGCGCATCCAATGATACAAAAATGAGCTAATTATCTCAAAAATTGATTGAGTAATTAGCGGTATATTTTTGAGAAGTGAATTTGTTCGTATTAGGAGCCATGTTCCTAATAAGAACGACAAGCTAAAATTTGTTCCTAATACGAACACTCAATGTAAAATACATACAAAATAAAAAAATTTTAGTAAACGAGATTTTTTTATGTCAAAACTAAAAAATTTTGATATGGTTCTTTTACCAAAAATATTTTTCATCATTTGATACATTAAAATCCAAAGGTTCAGAATTTTATCATTTAATATAGCTGAACCATATCAATTCTAAAATTGAATCGCTTGTTCTTATTAGGAACACTGTTCCTAATTCGAACAACCAGCAAAAAAATGTTCCTAATAAGAACATTCTACGTAAAAATACATAGAAAATAAAAAATATTAACTAAACCAGGATTCTTCATGTCTAAACTAAACAATTTCTTTTGTGGGTGCATTAAAAAATATTCCTTGACTCAGACTACATTAAAATCCAACGGTAGAAGGCAAACGGAGTTACTGTTTGATTTTTATTGATAAAATTGTTATTTCTATTTTTTATTGATTTTTTTTTATTTATTTTTAATATCATTTTGAAAAAAATTTTCATTGAATGATGTTCAAATGTAACATATATGCTATTTCCGACATATACATCAATGATAAAACAAAAAAAATATCTATAGGTGCCCAGATCCCCACCTCCTGGGGATCTCTCCCTAAGATGGGAATATTTTGGATTTAGCACCAACAATAGATAGCTCTATGAAAGAGCTATCGATTGATATATGATTCATGATATTAGACTATTTCGTTTCTCTGGAATCACGAGTTTCATTTGTAGTATTCTACTATAATGAGCATATAATAATCTACATCGAGGAATATGGTTGAATTCGAGGATCAAGAGAAATAGTTTTATTGAATTTTTCATCAGCATCTAATACTTCTAACTGAAGACTATCAATTAATGGAAATAATTTCATAATTCACTAGGGTGTGGGTCTGGGTGTGGGTGTGGATGAAAAGGGTGTGGGTGCGGATGCGGGTGTATGAGGGTGTGGGTGTCCGTGTGTGATGAGAGGATATCCACATCTACACCTTCATACACCCACAGCCACACCCACAACCCACACCCACTCCCACACCTCCACACCCCACATCCACACCCACACACCCACACACCCACACACCCACACCACTACCCACACCTACACCCACACCCACCCACACTCACACCCACACCCACACACCCACATCCACACCCACACCCCACACCCACACCCACACACCCACACCCACACCCCACACCCACCCACACCCACACCCCACACCCACACCCACATCTACAGATATATACCCAAGCCCATCAACACTTATCCACATGCTACATCCGCAGTCTAAACTCCACACCCGGACCCTTTATCCACAGTCACATCCAGTTGCTTGTAATACGCACTATGGCCGCTTAGGCTCTATCATCGACAGAGTCTATGGGCTTTTTTATTTCAAACTGAATTCTAAAATCAAAAAAACCACACCAATTTCTTCCGAATCAAACTTTTCTCGCTTGATACTACGTAGTCTCATTAAAAACCCTTAGTCCCCCTTAGTCCTGCAAAGTCCCCCTTAGTCCCCCCCACAAAAAGCTTAGTCCCCGCTTAGTCCCCTGTGCAGGGGACTAAAGCCTATAGTACACAAAACCACAAGCACACCCTCACCCTCACTCGCGCGCCCACACCCGCACCATGGGTGTGGGTGTGTGTGTGGGTCCCAGACCAACACCCACACCCTCAGTCACCCCCCCCCCCTCACTCCTAGACTCACGTTTCAGTTTGAAATCAAGTATTATTTTTATTTGATAAATTCAGACTGAAATTAAATAGCCCATTGTATGCATCGACAACGGGTTAAATAAAATGGAAATAAATAACATGTCTGAAATCGGATTCCAATATCTGAGAGCGTGCTAATTTCTGCAGTCGTGATCTACTTGTTACTGAATATTTGACTAGCATCTATGCTTTGTCTGCATTGACACTTGTCTACTCATATAGCATATGAGACGAGTCGTAACAGATATCCAGCAAACTTTCACAAGAGTGTTCCAAGATGCTACTCCTATTTCTGCTGGAAATATGCTTATGTTTGTCTTCTACGGAATCGGAGATAATTGCGGCACAATATCGACCGGAGTGTCTCATAAGACATTTTATGGATATGAACTTCTATAAGATAGTAACCACAGAAGCCTTCGTAAGCTTCTGTATTGAATGGCAAGATGAAATGAAGAAAAATCAATTGTGTCACGGTCAGCTGCATTCATTTGTTAAAATGGCTCGAGAAGAATGGACAAGTCAATACTTGATTAGTTTGCAAGCACCGACTATTACAATTGATCGTTACATAGAATATCTGGAAGGAAAAATCACTGAGATGGAAGCAGAAGTAATTTTTTTCTCCATATTTTCTAGTAAAACAGTCTTTTCTATTTTTTCTTTACTTGAATAGAGATTGTTCTTTTGTCAATGTGATGAACAGGAACAATGGTCAGGAGCAAATTGTGAATATAAATGGGCATCAGACTATGAATACCAGATATTTTACCGTAAAAAGAAGGACACAGTGGAATCGCGTATAGATATTACTTCTGGTTCTTGCTACCTCGGCATTTTGAATTGTTCCGCAACATGTCTAGATTGGCGCGAAGTTTGTGATGGTAAATGGGATTGTGACAATGGGCTTGATGAGGCTGGATGTGGACAATTCGAACTTTTAGATGAATGTCAATATCCTGCTGAATACCGTTGTACTAATGGTCATGGTTGCATTCCAACTGATTTTGCCTTTGATTTCGACTATGATTGTGCTGATGGAAGTGACGAGCAAGGTGATGTGAGCGATTGCTTCCAATTGATCTCAATGATTCAATGCCTCGAACATCAATGTGGATGGGATTCATTCTCTTGCGGTGATGGTCATTGTGTAGAAAGACTGTTCCATGCGCATGAAGATCGTGACGAATATGATTTGTGCATGAATCATCGTGATTGGCATTATGATAAAGAATTAATTTTCAAATTAGATAATATGAATACAAGCTGTTGGTTCGCAATACTCTGCCGTCTGGGTCTGAATGAATACTATGAAGACGCAGATTGCAGTGTTCATCTAATAAGTCTATGTTATGATGAATATGCTGTCTTTCCATTTCGCCGTGCATTATTGTTAGAGTATGACATTCGCTTTATTTATACACGGGATTCTCTTCGCTCAAAATCGAAACGCAATCTTATCAATCCTGATTACGTCTGTTTTAATGTGAGTAAATGTCAAAGTCGCTCAACTTTATTTACATTCGGTCAATATATATGCGAAGCTGCCAATCAATTTTTCCGACAATCATTTGTAAAGAATGAATGGGCGTTGCTCTTCTCAGATCTCAAAGATATCTTAAACATTCGATGTTCTTCGATTTATCCTCAATTAGATATGCTGGAAAGTGTCGATTCATGCGCTAATCTTTTTCAATGTGGTCAAAATTCAACTCGTTGTATATCACGTCATCGTGTTTTCGATGGTATAATCGACTGCGGCGATGCATTTGATGAAGACTACGAATACACTTGCCAATTAAATATAACCAGTCGATTTCAATGTGGTAGTTCGATGCCAAAACGCTGTATTCCACGTAAAATGCTGAGTAAGCAAAACAAGATACTAATTTAAAAGACCAATTTTTTAGGTGAGTAATTATTACTTCTTCGGCAATATTACTGAGGCCAGTAAAGTAATATTGGATGATGACGTATGCTGACATAATTGGCTGTGGATATGGCTTTGGATATGAAAAGATCTTTGCACTCAGATGCGCACACATCCAAGTAAAGACGGGAGCGAATGAGGAAAGGTCGATTCGATTCGCCTCAGTCAAATCGAATCGAATCAAACCACTCAACTGTTCGATTGGATTTTGATCTCTGTGCTCAACCACACACAAGATTTTTCATGAAACTTTTGTATATAATACACTAAAAGGGTTGAATAAGAAGCAAAAGATCCCATAGCCAATCTCTGAAACATTAACACTAATAATTTTCTACAAACAATTGAACATGATTTCAAATCATAGAGAATACATTGAGTATTTCTCAGTTCGACATAATCGAATATAATTCTACGTCGAGTAAAAGACTAATAATCAACAGATGTACACAAGAGATTCATCGAGAAATTCTCTCAGTCTCGGAGAAAAGAGAAATAAAGTTATGAATCTCACTCAGCATCATATCTGATGAGAAGTTCATGAATCCAAGTCAAGTAGTGTTGAATAATCGAAAGCTTAACTCTGGTTCTCGATTGCTGAGCTTTTGCCTGTGACTTATTAATTATCTTGAAGTAGTAAATACCATTTCAGGTAGATTTATTTCGAACAGATGTGTATAGGTATGTTTGAGATTAATAGAAAAATAAGGCGGTTAGTATTTCCCAAATACTTATGCATTTCTTGCGTCGTAAGTTTTTTCGACGAGAGAAAGAAAAAATTGGATTAGAAGCGTGTCGAAAAAGTTATCCTTCATAAAACCACTGCTGAGTTTAAAGATTCCGAGAAAGTTCACAGCGAATACCGGACATTTTCGAGAACTCATACATTTATATTGAACAGTTTGCATATTCTAGACGAATATTTGTTCTAAAGTAGGAGTGTTTCTTTTCAGTTTCTAATTATTTCAAACAAAAACAAGAAATTAATAGTTTTTTTCGAAAGTTCAATTCTGCCTTTTGTTTCATTTAGAAAAGTATATTTGAATCAATCTGATAATGAGCACTCTATCGTAGTGTGATTTGGGTAATATCAACTACGAGAGTATTTTAAACATAATAAACCGGCTGATTCCAAATCAGACCAGATTTTGCCTATCGTGCGTTGAGAAAAAATCGAAAAATTTTGCACTGTCATATTATATTATAGTTAATGGGGAAATCGACTGTCCAGATGGATCTGATGAAATTTTTCCAGGCGAATGTAAGAAAGGCAAGGATAACACCGTTGCATGCAACTATATTCGTGGAGAGTTCGCCGCACTAGATGATCAGTTTAGTTTCGGTCATCTGTGGCAAAGCATATGTGACGGAAAAATAGAACATCACTTCGATAATGACACTGATGAGTCAGATTGTGCAGATTGGCCGTGCAATTCTCTCGCAATGAGATGCAATAGAGAGTGGCAATGTTCAAATGGTATGGATGAACTTTCTTGCCGAACTGGGCAGATATATGATGTATGGCCTAGTTGTCAGAATAAAAACCATTTATGTATCCGTCCTTTTACTGGACGTCAGGAATGCTTACCGATGGCTGAAGCTGGAGATGGTCATGTCAATTGTGTAGGTGGTACTGATGAACGTTTAACGAGTGTTTGTCGACATAAAGCACCTTTCACTTGTGCTAATAGTTCAATCTGCGTAACTTTGGACAAGCTTTGCAACGGTATACGAGACTGTCCGGAAGGAGACGACGAACAAGCCTTGTGCCCTTGGTTAGCAGCTAACGTGACGGTTTGGCGTTGATGTTCGTTGATTAACAAATTCTACTGCTCTAATGGCAAATGTATTGATCGTGTCGTGATGAGTAACGGCTTTCTTGACTGTCCTAGTGGAGAGGATGAGTGGTTCTTAAAACTCACACCACTCAAAAAACTTGTCGTCACCAAAAAGATCTCTTCAATAGATCACCACCGCACATTAACATATGACAAGTTCGATAAGGCATCGATTAATCGCAGCTGGTTCTGTAATGAAGGATTGTCTGTTGATACACGAGATGGAAATTTCGTATGTGCCTGCCCACCAAGTCATTATGGTATGCAGTGTCAACTCCAAAGTGATCGTATACTTGTGAGTGTACGTCTAAATACCTATGTCAGTGATCATATAATTAAACTTGTTGTGTATCTAATTGACGATGAAACCGATCAGATAATTGATTATGATCAAGTGTTATGTTTGCCGATTTCGATTAATATTGTATCTCGCAAATATTTCATCTATTTACGATATAACTCAAATTCAAGACCACACTATCGGAATTATTCTGTTCGAATAGATGCGTTCTTTGTTGCACGTGATACAATCGATTTTCGTGGTGCCTGGCTTTTTAGGATCACGCCGACAATGCGTCTGTTACCATCACAGCGTATCGCTGCTCAACTATGGTTAGATGTTTTTAAACATATGTCAACTTGTTCTTTCAATTGTGGTCGCCACGGAATATGCCGAAAATATCTAAATGATATTGCTCATCCATACTATTGTCAATGTGACCCGGGCTGGATAGGCGAACAATGCGAATATTTTCGACAATATCGATGTGCAATTGAATCTTTCAGTATTCGTTCGACAATTTGTGTTTGCCCTTTAACACGATTTGGACCTACATGTCGTGTTCCACATGATCCTTGCGAAACAAAGACAAATACTAAATTTATCTGTGCTAATAATGGTACATGTCTACCAGACGATCCCCGAGTCCATGGTCAATATATTTGCATATGTCCACTTGGTTTTCAATCAACACGATGTGACAAACCAGCATTGGGGACTCGTATTACAATCAATGAATCAATGTCATTTGCCGCTATTCTTGTCTACTTTGTTCGTTTTTATAAACGATTGGATGTTCCATTAGTAAACCACATAAATCAGCTGAAGGATTGGATATTGAACATTCAAAGTACATATTTGATGACGGAACCTATTACGACAATTTATCAGCGCTCAGGATGGGTCGAAACTTCAGCTGACTACTTAAACTATCTTGTTTTCGCTCATGTATTCACAAAACAATATGAAAACGCACGACCAAGATTATATTTAATAGGAAAAGTTGTACTATCTAGCAGTCCATTTGAAGCATTTATTAAAAACGGAACAAAATTGTTCGATTTCAGTCTTGATACATCTGTCACTCAGCAACACTGTCCTCATATTGACGAGATCTTCAATGAAACAATTATTAACTCAAATCCCTTAAAACGCTTCAAAGTATACAATCGACCATGTCAACCACCGTCAGCAGTAAGTTGTTTCTACGATCAAACTTATACATGTCTTTGTAATCGAGAATATGGTTTTGCCGATTGTTTTATACTCCATTTTTCACGTGATAAATGTCTTGAAAATAATTTTTGTATGAATTCAGCACGTTGTGTACAAGATGACCCGGAACAAAGTCCATTGAAATATATTTGTATTTGCCCATACTGTTTTCATGGTACACTTTGCCAATACTCAAGTACTATCTATTCTATTTCACTAGATGCATTATTTCAATCGACATTAAAACGGCATGTAGGAATTTTTCAACAATCACCAATAATTATATTCTACTTTATTTTTGCCTGTATATTAGTATTTATTGGATTGATTAGTAATATTCTTACATTTATGACATTTTGCCAAAACAAAACACGTAAAACAGGCGCAGGAATTTACATTCTAAATTTGTCTATACTCAATCAACTTAGTTTATCGATTTTTCTTATTCGATTTCTATATTTATTTATTCATACGATTCAGTTACCTTTGTGCATCACACTTGAATATTTTATCAAAGTGTTCCCAGGTACATGCGACTATTTGAATGCTCTAGTTACCATGGAACGAGCCTATGCTGTTTATAGTGGATGTTCATTTGACAAGAAGCGAAGTCGTCGTGTAGCCATGTATCTAATTCCTCTTGTCGTTCTCATACAATTAATTAGCTATTTATATGAACCTATGAGTCGTATTCTCGTAGAATCTCCATCCGATAGGACACTCAAATGGTGTGTCGTTTCGTTCATATCAAGACCTTGGCTTCGAATCTACAATTTGATTGTGAACATGATCCATCTATTTTTACCATTTCTTCTCAATATTTTTGGAGCTGTATTCATTCTTTTTGAAGCGTCACGCCTTCGTGCTCGAGTACGCCATCAATATATAATCACAATTTTGACAGAACAATTTCGAGAGCATAAACATATACTGATTAGTCCTATTGTGTCTATTGTGATGTCCTCACCACGACTTATATTTGTCTTAACTATTACTTGCCTCGAACCGAATTCTTCTACTAAGGATGCTCTTTTTATCGGTTATTTGTTATCATTTGGACCTCAAATATGTACTTATTTAACATTCGTTTTCGTCTCGTCCTTTTATCAGAAAGAGCTGAGAAAATTCTTACAGAATATAATCAGTCGATTATCAGCTATTCACTAAATAGGTAACTTCTCGTATTACACGATGGACAAATTGTATTACAAACGCTAAAACGAACTCGACAGACTTTGTATTGATTCTAAATGCAAACATTTGAACATTTATATGAGTTTAAAGTATAAATCTCGACCTGTTCGAGAAAAAGTAGAGAAAAATAAATTTATTCTTAAGAAAAAGACCAGTGCTATATTTGATAAATATAGATTGATTTTTGCTAAAAATAGTATCGCTATGATCGTCGATATGAAGCGTGAAGTGGAGGGGTCCACGAGAATTTAAAGTTATCCTGTTTTACTTTTCTATACATTATTTACTCCCTTTAGTGCTTTTAGTCCCTTTAGTTCCTCTAATGCCTTTAGTCCCTTTAGTTCCTTTACTCCCTTTAGTTCCTTTAATGCCTTTAGTCTTTTAGCGCCTTTAGTGCCTTTAGTCCCTTTAGTCCTTTTAGTCCCTTTAG